ACATTAATCACACTAATTATTTGCAGTTTATATGACACTTTTTACATATGTAAAAAATAAACACTTGCAGCAAATCTTCTTTAAACTTTCATTAGAATAGAAGCTTGAAATAGCACAGTATTAAAAATTTTGCTTTTTTTAAAATTTATAACTTTTATGTAATAAAATGGCTACTTTAATTTGTGCACAAACTCCTGCCGTGATGAAGATAACTTACCATCTTCAGGTGTTACTTCTGCTTGTTAACAGGATTCTTCCATCTATATGGGATATTGCTTCCTCAGAAATAGTAGTACCTGCAATTATAAAAATGATAACATTTATTCGCAATAAAAATTTTCTAATTTAAAAATTAATATTTATTATAAAAAAGTATGATCACTTTAAAAATCTTGATTTTTATTTCATAATGTCCTGTGTGAATCTTATGTTTAAAGATTAAAACCACCTTACGTATAACTTAATAATGCCATTTTGGTAGCTAAATGCTACTTGGTTTGACTCTCTGTTTGATGAATAAATTGACAATCTCCATCACTGCATGTTCCCATCAGTTCGTATGGACAAAGGACACCATTGGGATTCGTGTTCCTGGTTAAGAATGATAAAAACAACAAAAAAATGCTTAAAATTTTTGTAATATAAATTTAAAAAAGTTTATATTATTTACGAACAGATATATTAAAATTATTAAAATATTTAGAGAGCAAAACCCACCTTGGTATTTTAAAGTGTGTTAATATTGATTCATAAGACAAAAGTGTTTTTTTTCTTTGAAGATCTCCTTCGAATTTTGTAGAATTCCTCTTCTTAGTATTAGGTTTTAAAATTGTAGGCCTTATATTATTTTCTGACATATTATTATCCAGTTTTTGAATATCTTCTGGCTTAAAAACATCAGTAGTAGTTGTATTATTATTACTTAAATTTGTTTCTTTAAATATTTTTTGTTCAATGTCATTTTGTTTAGATATACATCTTTCATCAAAACTTAGAGTGGAAATATTTAATATTATATCTGTTCCTTATCTGTTTTATTTTTATTTATTGTAGTGTCTTCTATTTGTATATTTTTTTCAATATCACTTGATTTTATTCTTGATTGATCTTCATTTAAGATACTTGTATCAATATTGCATTCTTCTAATAATAGAGTTTTATTTTGCGAAATTTCTGTACATGTAGTAGATACAGTTTCTTCTTCCAATCTTGATAATTCGTACATATCGGAAATATCAATAGATGGTACTTTTTTTCGAGAAAGTTGCCGCGTATGATTAGCTACTTCTTTTAATCTATTATCTAAAAGTTGTGCTCCAGCTTCAGGTACTCTAAAGAAAATATCAATAATTTGAAAATATTTAAAATTAATAATTTAACAATTAATAAAAATGATTATATGAATATTACTTGTATTCTTTTCCCATAATCCTACTTCCCAAAGTTGAACAAATAGTTGCAAGTTTAAAGCATTCTTGCCGGCCTGCATTGACTTTTTCATGTGCTGCTACTACTCTTGGACCTATATTATTAATACGATTACGTTGTACTTGTAATCTTTCTTCAGCAACCTTTAACTGTTCTCTGAGTTTTTTCACTTCAGCAACTAAATTTGTTTGTAAATCTCGTTCCATGTGCCATTGACGAAGATTACTTGACATTTCCGCTAAATCATCTAAGATTGTATAGCTATTTTATCAAAATAAACAAATTATTAAAAGTTAATAGATATTATATATTATATATATAGATATTATATAGATATAGAAGATTTCATTATCTTTAATTCAAAAATTATTTACCGTTTCATAACTAATTTTTCTTCAGTATCTATTAAACGTTGTTCTTGTTCTTCGCGTGATAGATTAATAAGAGTATTTAATTCTGTTTTAACATCTTTTTTAATTTCGTCCCAATTTTCTTCTATACTTTTTGTATCCTTTGATGATATATTATTTTGAATAAATAGAAAATGACTATTTTCCGCATTTGAAATCGATGATAAATCCTCTTGATGTTGTGAAAGTGAGATCGTAGATTCAGATGTATCAAGATTTTCTTTCCTATCTTGATGTCTTTCTGACAAGATAACTGTTGATGCATCTGAGTCCACTGTATTATTATCATTAGATATAGTATTATTTGTAGAAAGCATGTTATTTATATCATGATCACATATATTTTTATTATTATTATCTTTATATCCAGAAATATTTTCATTTCGATTAATTACTGCTTTATTATTTAAGGACACTTTGTCATTTATTGTTACTACTCGTTCATTTGTATCATTTTTTACTTGTATTTGTACATATTTCTGATTTACTTCATCTATAGATAAAATTTTTAGACCAGGTGAAATCCTCGTTTTCATTTCAATTTTCTGTGTAGGCATTTCAAAAATTTTTCGCGATGTATTTGTCGATTGTACGGAATTTTCAACTACTTTGTTTCTAATATTATTTGGATTTTCAATGGATACACAAACATCATTATTTGTCGTTGATTTTGATAACAATTTTGTTTGATTCGAATTTGTATTTTCTTGTTTATCAACAACATCACACGTATTAGTACATGATTGAATATTATTTGTTGATATAGCTGTATTTTTTATTGAATCTATTAAATTTTTAGAACAATTTTCTTTGTTTAATTGTTGTGTATTTATATTTTGACTTTTCGTAGATATTTGATTTATTTTTATACATAATTCTTTATTTTGACTATTGGATAATGTGGATTTTGAAAATATTTCCATATTTTTATTTTTTATTAAGCTATTATTTTCCATACTTCTATGCAATTTTAATTTTTCACGTTCTAAAATTTGTTGTTTTAAGCGACGATATTCTTCTTGCTGAGATACGGGCAAATGACGAACAGCCTGCAAAAATATAAAAGTAAATATTTTTATATGATAAAATATTTTGTTATTAGTTCGTATTCTTACCAATGGCGTATGAAGATTGTTGGATGAATTTAATTTTTCTGATTTTGTTGTTAATACTGTATCTTTTTTAGGTGTTTGTGATATTGAAGTTGGTCTTGCAGCTGCCATAGATTCTTGTTTTCTTCGCACTGCACGTAAAAATTGATCTAAATTTTTTTCAAATTCTGTTGTAGAGTTTACTGTTGGTTGATTTTTTTCTGTCATAACAGAATGAACTGAAGAAACAGTTATATTTTTTTGTCGTTCAGATTCAGAATCACTTTCTGTATCAGACTCTAAATTTATAACAATTCGTTGTGTATCAGACAATGCCTTTGAATTAGCAGACCATTTGCTATCATTAGATTGTACTTTAGATAAAATTTTATTTTCTGTCATTTTTGGTTTGTTATAAAGAGTAGATTTTTGTAAATTTAATCTCTTTTGAATCATTGTATTTTGGTATTTTTTTGCATTATTTACAACTTTTGTACTTGCAGGAATTGAAATTCTTTTTATAAGTTTTCTCTGTGGACCTTTTGTTATATTGATTGATCTTTTTCTTCCCAAAGTTGTTATATTTAAAGTTTTATTATTATCAATAGGTAAATCTTTTTGTGTAATATTATTTATTTTTTCTCCAGAATTTGATTGATTTTTATCATTTTCAGAACCATATAAATTTACATGTGGAATTGATAAGTTAGCTGTGGGTAATACAATATTTGATACAGTTTGATTTACAAGTACTTGATTTAATGTAGTAGATGCAGTAGATATTGCAACTGAATCGGAGCAATTGTTAGTAATTTTTGTTCGTTTTGGCAAAGAAGCTAATAAAATTGCTCTTAATGCCTCTTCATCTTCATCAAGACTTTGTCTTCTATCTTCTGTACTTTTTATTTGTTCTGATATATCATTTACTGAATTATCATTATTTTGTATTTCTTTTTCATTACTTTCTGAAGAAATATTATTTTTTTCTGTAATAATATTTTTGGATGTTTCTGACATAGATACATCAATATTATCTGTTTGATCCATTTCTATTTGAATTCCTTTTTGATCTTGTTTATCATCTGTATGAAGAACTTGCTGTGACTCATGTTTATCTACAGTAT